AGACTGCAGTGAAGTGGGAAGCACAGGTGGATAAAGCCTTCTGATATCCTGCAGAAGAGTGCATCTTTAGGATGGTGATAAATATGAATATGTAGGATATCCAGATAACCAGAAGAGCAAATAAGATGTTGAAGCTTACTACATAAACAAGAACCAGCTCACTAACGTGTCTGTCTGAGCAAGAGAGAACCATGACTGCTGGAACATCGCAGAAAAAGTGATGGACCACGTTGGAACTACAGAAAGAGAGACTGAATGTATCTCCAGTGTGGATGCAGGCATTCAGGAAACCACAGACATAAGAGCCTGTGGCCAGACAAGCACACACACCGGTTGTCATGGCGGTGGTGTAATGCAGGGGTTTACACACTGCTGTATAGCGGTCATAAGCCATTGAGGCCAAGAGGTAATTTTCCACAGTGGCAAAGGCTACAAAAAAGAACATCTGAGCAGCACATGCATTGTAGGAGATGACCTTGTCTCCTGAGATGAAACCAGCCATGACTGTGGGAGTGACAGCTGAGGAGTAACAAAAATCCACCAGAGACAAGTTACTGAGGAAAAAGTACATGGGAGTGTGGAGACGAGAGTCCAATGCAATCAACATAATAATCCCCAAATTCCCAATCAGAGTGATGAGGTAGGTGAGCGTGAACATTATAAAGAGGGGAACCTGCAGTTCTGGGTCATTGGTTAGTCCCAGGAGAATGAACTCTGTCACTTCTGTACTGTTCCTCATCAATGCAGAGAGTCCCAGAACGCCCTGTGGCTAGGAGAAGATAGAATCATTGATAAAGAAACTTAAACTGAAAAGTGTACATACAAAATGTCTTATTTCATTATAGTGACGACTGGTATTTCTAGATTCTCCAGATACAAATACTCTTGTCAACAAAACTTACTCCATTAATTGTGTAGAGACCTACATACTGTTAAATCTGAAGGATCTTCATGGGTCATCTCCCCAATTTTTAAAGTGTATAAGTTTGTAAACTGAGATGTGTACAATTACTTGATAAATGGCTTGTCCAGAAAGGATACACCTGCCAATTCACTTTTTCCAAGCCTCATAAAAGCAAATACTTGCATGTTGTTCCTCTATCAGGAACCGCTGTAGACAGTATAGAATATATTCATTATTGCCTCTCAAGGACATCTTGAGTTTAATTCCTTATTGTATTCATTTAAATGATAATGATAATGCATAAAAGGTTGAGTAATTTTTCATATTTAAACAAGTGTTAAGTGACCAGCCATGCATTGGACTGAGGCAATCTTTGAACACAAACTGAGTGGCTCCCAAGACAGTGGTCTTAATTATATTTAAATCAAATTGAATTTAACTCACTTTGCT